TGCAAGAAAAGAGCCCCATGGCCTGTAGAAAGTTTGTTTGTTCATGCTTGCCCGCTCGCGTGCGCGATATGCAAGAAAAGACCCCCATGGCCCCTGGGTAGTTTGTTTGTACCTGTTTGGTATTTATGACGTTGGGAGACCTTGACAAGCAAGGTGATCACGTGACAGCTCCGGGGAGCTCCACTATGTACATACTCTTCATTTAGCTTGAAATACCCGCTTTATAACCACACCATCCTCCAACGGTAAGCCTTTTTTTGCCAGACGCGACGTTCTCATCTCATCCTCTCTCAAGACATGGCTGCCCGAGCTCGTCAGCTTGCCATCAATCCGTTTGGAGATGCTTATCCGGACGACGACAGTACAAAGGAGATCCTGCTCCAGGCAGACGGCTTGGAAACAGCACACAACAAGGACCGCCACGTCCTCCTTCGTTAGACAAATGGGGTAGATGCCACAGAGAAACTCTTTTACTTTCAGATTATCCAACTCTCTGGCGGACCAGGCAACTACAACTTCCACACACCCCAGGTACAGTCAGAGACGTCCCAGTTGCAGAACAAGTATCATGCGCTCGGCCAGTACACCCGGGCGCGGCGCAGCGTGACCAGATCTTAGCATTAGCGCACGCCGTTCCGTTCTGCAAGAAGTCGTGCATTAACAGTTGCCGCACCTGGACGCGGCTCTTGCTTGAAGCCATGGTCAATGCCAATCTCCTCTCAGCAACTTTGTTTGAGCACCTCGATACCGACATCCTGCTCAAGAAACCTCTTCCGGAGCTCTCCGAGTCCGAGCAAGCCACAACCTAAGCCGTCGGCGTGGTCAAAGTCTTTGGAGTATATGTAAATCTTTGCCACCAAAATCATTCTACGCCAACTTGAAAGTTGAAGACAGTCGCGAGAAGTTATCATTAGTAACAGATACAGACAACAGTGGCAGAAAGGTCAAATAACAATATCTGCTGCTCACGCAGACGCTATCACTCTGAAAGGATCCGACCCCCCACCCTCCAACCCACCAAGGATCGCTTCCCTAACAGCACCAAGGTAATCCCCCAACCTCTTCCCATCCTCATTCACAAAGTCCTCGTACAGTTGATACCGCGAGTCTGCCACGATGTTCGCGAGCTGTAATGCGCGTTTGAGGTTTCTGTGCCGAAAGATGATCAGTTGCTGAGAAGAAAGAATGGGAAAAGAAACATACTCTGGTATAAAGTGCCGTGAGTCGAACAATAGGAAATGAAGGCGGATAATAAGTTCGGGTATATATATCTGACGGATCCGAATGAGATCTTTTCGTCTTTCATCGAGCTCATCTGGAATAGTTGTGAGTATAGAGCACAATGTTACACTTAACGTGACGACAACGAACCGCCCGGATTCTCAACATCAGAAACCAACCACTCCGTAGTCAAAAGTCTCGTAATTTGGTCGTGAGCTTGATCAATCAGACTCTGCAATAAAAAACCTCATTAACACCTAGCAAACATCTTCTAGACTTCACTGAAAAAACAAACCCGATAATCATCCAACCAAGTTGCCTTTGCATCCTTGTTCATCCCGGGCACATGCTGAGACTGACAATCCACCACACGTTCCACCGTTTCCCAAATGACGAAGAACTGGCGATAGTGTAGGTATTCCGTCGCTCTCTCCTCTGGTTCCGAGATTCCCGCGAGTTCGGGGGGTAGGACGTCTAAAAGGCTTTGTGCAGCTTGTACACGACCGGTGCCTGGAGGAGTGGGTTTGGGATGGACAAATGACAGAGGGGCAAAAAAAAATTACCAAGGAAATACCGCAGAATAACGTTAGCTTGCTCAAGTGCGGTGTTATACGTCGTATCCTGGAATATCGTCCACTCAATAGACCGAAGCAGGAACAGTTCAGCATCCGTTGGCGGTTGTTGCAGTGCGATAATGGATGGTAATGGTCCTTCCAGTACTGGTAGAACCTGTTCATTCCATCGTGTTTAAAAGGGGTGTAAAACGAAAAGTGGTTGACCTACGTCAAACGCCTGCTCGATCGTTCGCTCTGCAGTGACCACTGCCACGCGTGCAGGGTCAAGCCCATGATCCCTCGCTCGTGTAAGTGCCAGCCGGCGTTCGTTGATGTCCGCGGTGAGGGCAAGGGAAACGAGGAATAAGGCGTATCGCTCGATGGCGTTTTCTCCTAGGGCACTTGCGTACATTGCGATTAGATCTCGTTGTCCTGCGTCCTGAAAGCCGGATAGAGGTCATGGTATAAAATATGCGATTATGTCAAGTACACACACCTCCAAAACTTGAAGATATGATTCGAGGATAACTTGAGTTGCCAGAGGGGGTACGGGGATATCGATCATTTGGAGGAAGAGGCAGAAGTGGGCAAAGAAGCGGCACATCGACGCGTACCTGGCAGAAGCCTGGTGGATTAAAAGTCTTTCGTACCAATTGAAACCAGATACGTACTCGAACGATGACTGGGTGTAAGAACCATCTTTCAGGCCAACAGCAAAGGAGTCCAACAGCGTGTTCGTCCGATTGAGGATGATCAAAAGCTGCGAAAAGTGGAAAGCGTGATCTGCAGGTGGCCTTCACAAGTTACCGTCAGTTGCGGGAGATAGAAACCAAAGGGTAGATTCTCTTGCCCTTCAAGAACAGCTATACTCTTTAGACTGTCCAAGCTGCTTATAGCTTCCTTCTTCCACTCTTCTTCTTCAGCATCATCAAGCTCGTCGTTAACGCCCTTGTCTACAGCCTCTACGCCACCCTCCCAGAAACTACCCCCAAGCCTACTCAGTTCCTGGCTCTCCTTCTCCTCACACATTATGCTGACTTGCGCCCAAAGATGGTCTTCCCATGTTCTACAGGCCAGTTTGAGTACGTTTGAGGTTTGTGGTGAAGGTGCTAGGGCTGCATATAGTATCCGTTCTTGATCAGAGAGAGCGGGCTAAAAAGAGTGTTAAGACTGGGCAAACGATTTGAAAAAAAGAAACGCACGCTGAGAGCAGCTCTGGTACATGCGGTTTTCCAGAGATGGCGGTTTTGATTGCCTGACCAAATGTCCATGTCATCTTCGTCTTCCATCGAGTCCTCGTCGCGCGGTTCTGCAGCTGCAATGATATATTTGCGTCGAGTTTGACAGAGCGGTAGCTGAAACTCACATAATGCCCTCCACTGAAACAGAAATGAGCCACGTATGCTGGCAGCCCTCCACGGTTGGTGGGCTTTCCTACACAGCTCCACTGCATCATCGAACCTCCCTCCCCGGATATATCCATATAGGGCTTGCAGCAGATTTCTCTCATAGCTCTAAAAATATTTCGGGTCATCATCTTTCTTCTTACTGTAGCTTCAATTGAACGCACGGCATCATCAGACGCGAGGGACCGCCCTTCCTCGCGATTCGGCGCGTCCGGATCCATCTCCTTCACAAGCCCATCACGGTGTGCGTTTCCCATCCGTATTGATTGAATAACACTATGTTTTGTGAACTTCCAATAACCGGTGTTCGCTTCTGGGTGCATGGGCGCTGGAGCGGTTTCATGCAGCCATTCTCGGATAACGATGAGTTCCGAGAGGAGAGGGGATGAGTTCATGATGGCTTGCGCAAGTGTTGATGTGGGAGTATATGGATTTTCGTAGAGCAGGTCTCGTGCGGATGGGACGGAGGGTGGGTCTGTTTTTCGGGCCCTAGAGAAAGGTGAAGTGAAGGTGGAGGAACTGAGAAGGTGTACTTACGGCATCACGGCTTGGAGTAGTCCCCATGTATTTTGTTCCATGCGAAGGAGCTCGATTTCACTCTGCGACGCTCGGGAGTCTTCCAAGTCGGTAATTCTTTTAGTTCGCTGAGTGTCTGTTGTGTATATTGGGCGTAGAACTCACTGATCCCGACATAATTGGCGAAGACGAGGCGCAAAACCCGTTTCTGGATCGAGGATTGCTGCTAGGTCATCTTTCATGGACTGACATAGTGATAGAACCTCTGCACAAGAGCCATACAGAGCATCAGACATGTTTGCGAACAGACAAGTGTGTCACAGTCACCGCTTCTTGATCTAGAACTTCCACATACGCTTCTTTCCCACGGTCCAGGCCGTGCAAAAGTCGAAGCAGTATGGAGGAGAACACAGACAGTAGCAATAGAAAAACCCATAAACATAATTCCCCAAGCACACATGCCTCACAAAGATACTCCCAACCCATCCCAACCCAGTACACCAAACCCACCCAACCGGAGGGAGGCGCGACGCGCCCCCAACGGACAGCTCGACAAACCCGACCACAGACCCCATCCGGCACGACCGCCTCCTTCCTGGAGAACGCGGTCGGAAGGGTAGGTAGAATGGCGCAATCAGTCACCCACACGTCCCCGGCGAAAATCAAGAGCGTACTAATAGGAAACAAGAAAAGGGCGCTGGACGCAGAACGCGCGACCACCCCAACCCCGCAGTCCTACAACGACGTAGACATGACCATGGGAGACCAGAACGACCCAAACCGGCGCGTCCCATGGGACGAAGACATCGAGTCATCCGGAGACGAAAATGACCAAAGGGGAATCGACCAAGAATCCATACAGGCCGACAGATTCAGCCACCTCGCAGATCGCTCGATGAGCAGGGACGAGAAGTTAGATCACCTATACAACTCCCTCTTAGACGCCGGGTTCTTCGTACAGGCATTGGAGAGTGGGGGAGAAATGGATATTGCAAGGACTGACCAAAAAATCACAGGATGCATGACGGGCCTATCAAACGCGCTCCTCAACCAGCCATACAGAGTCATCATGGAACAGCAAGCAGGCCTCGCGAAGGCAATCCACGAGATCAGCAAGAACATGACGACGACCATGGAGAACATGGCGACGATCATGGAGAATGTTCAGAACAACGGAGAAAAGATTGAACACATGAAGAATGAGACAGCCAACAGCCTAACAGCAACCTCAGACCGGCTCAAAGCCTTGGAATCCCTGGCCACCGACACTCAGTCACGAATCGCAAACCTGGAAAACCGAGGTGCTGGACCCCAAACACGAAACACGGAACCCACCTCAAACCCAAGCCACACAACAAGCCACGCCACTGGCCCGACGTTCAAACCCAAAGGGAAAACTGAGGGAAACCCGGGACCAACCAAGAAGAGCACCAACCCAGCATCGGCCCATCACCCAAGCCGAGCGGTCATCCGTTTCCTGCCTGACGGGATTAGGGACGAAGACCGCCTAGACCCAATGGTAATAGTCAATACAATCAACAACGCCCTCGCCAACGCACCCTCCCTCAAGGCCAAGCACATCAGAGCTGTAACTGCAACCTACAATAACCAAGGTAACCTCATCGTCTCAACGCGTGCTGACCAACGCGCCGCAGATCTGCTCCAATACGCAGAGCTCTTCATTCCGCTAATCGACCAAGGATACAACACAAGTGTCATAGAAGACAAAAAATGGTTTAAGATTCAAATCGACGGCGTCAACACCCACACCA